CATTAAGTAAGCAATTATACCTAGTATATATACTCGTATAGAATTGAAATAAGATTTATACGTCGTAACCTTTGTTAATTTAATTATATTGAAATTTTAGGTATAACACTTATTTAATAAGTAAACTATTATACCTAGGATATATACTACATGTTAGAGATACATATGAGTCAAGATGACACTTTTAAACTATGGTTTATACTTTTTGAACTTGGAAAAAGTACTATTTTATGTGGAGTCAAAACCTGTAGACTCACCAACTTTATATTGATGTATTTTCGAAATGCATGTGTTTCCAGGAACTTGATAAGTTGAATGTTTCTCGAACAGGAGAACTTTTACTATTATCCTTTCTGTTCGTGTAGAACATATATATATATATATATATATATATATATATATATATATATATATATATATATATATAGACGTGTGCAATAATTAAGATACTATGTAATAATCACTAGGAAATAAGAATAATGTAACTTTCTATCATCAGTAATTGTATGTAGTTTATAAAATTCTTTTGTATTGTTCAATGTACGTTATATATATGTGATACAAAAATGAAGTTAATCCACTCGGTGTTTCTGCCATCAGATGGGGGTGTGACACTTGTTTCCATGAGGTGGGCTTGTGTTTGTAGGAACAAGGTTCTGCGCTTGATGGCTTGTTCATCATTGGTTGAGGAGTGAAATCGTTTTTGTCATGTCAAGGCATGGCTAGTGAGCTTGCTATCTCGACGAGTTGGCATGATAAGCCAGAGTAGTTATGGTATAGGTTAAGATCCTTTTAACCATGTCAATGCATGGTTAATGACCCTATTGCCATGACGAGTTTGACTGAGAATCCAAACGAGTTATGGTAAAGGTTATGATATTTTTAACCATGTTGAGGCATGGATAATAAGCATGCTGCCATGACGAGTTAAGAGGCATGGATAATAAGCATGCTGCCATGACGAGTTAAGCTGAGAAGCCTGCCAAGTTATGGTAAATGTTAGGATCCTTTTTACCATGTTGAGGCATGCCTAATGAGCCTGTTACCATGACGAGTTGGGTTGAGAAGGCTGATAAGTAATGGTAAAGGTTATAATCCTTTTAACCATGTCGAGGCATGGCTAATGAGCTTGCTTCCATGATAAGTTGGGATGAGAAGCCCAAATACTTATGATACTTTTAACCATGTCGAGGCATGGCTAATGAGCGCGCTGCCATGATGACTTGGGCTAAGAAGCCTAATGAGTTATGGTAAAGGTTATTATTCTATTAAGCATGTTAACAGATGGGTAATGAGTTTGCTGCTATTCATAGTTGGGTTGAGAACCTTAACGAGTTATGGTAAAGGTTATGATACTTCTAACTATGTTGAGGCGTGGCTAATAAGCCTGCTGCCATGATGATTTGAGTTGAGATGCCTGAGGAGTTATGGTAAAGGTTGTTGAAATGTTGTTGTTGCAAACTTGCTCAATGCATCAACCCTCTATTTTCATTTCGCTTTATTTTTTCAATTATAAAACGTATTAAAAGATTCTACTATCTTGGTCGCTACACTCATATATTTTTCCATTCATGTATATCACATATGTACACCTAATTGATTTGATTTGTAAAAAGTAATGAGTCAGTTAAGACATTTAATTGCTTGGCATCCATTTTGGCAGCCAGTTGGAGTCTTGAGAGCAAAGCTTCATACTCAGCCTTATTATTGGATGTCTTAAAATCAAAACACATTGGATATTTTACTTTTTCCTCATTAAGGCTGGCCAGAATGAGTGCAACTCATGATCCTTCCTTCCCTGCAACATCATCTGTGTATAAAGCCCATAAATGTTGTTCTTCTACACAGTTAAGTTACTTGCGCTTCTTGTGTCCTTCTTTATGGTTATCATAGTCGTTATCTGGTATTTCTATCAAGAAGTATGCCAAGTCTTGACCCTTGATGATTTTCCTCTTGTAGTATTTTATGTCATGTTCTCCCAATTAGATGGCCCAGTTAGCTAGCCTCCTTGTTTTCTCTGGTTTTAGCAAGACATGCTTGAGTAGTTGCATTGTCAGTACCTCTGCACGATGGGCTTGAAAGTTCATTTTTGTACCTTGCAATGTTATACTGAGAAAATATATTGCTAACTGCCTCTACACACTTTCAGTTATCAAGACCACAAATATGGCGTCCTTAGTGGCAGATAAATATATTGAGAACGTCTCTCTTGGAGTGGGGCTAGCCAAAGTTGGTAGTTCTTGTAGGTCCATCTTTAAGTCTCTTACTTCCTATTCTGCATATGGTGTCACGCGGAAATTGTGCTTGCCTACACAACCCATCAATGTTTGACATAATGATAGTGCTTTTTCTATTGATCTGGCTATAAACCTTCCTAGGGCAGTGACCTTCCCACTTAATGCTCGCATATCTTTTAAGCGTTGTGTTTAACAAGTATTTTACCTTGTATGGACTTGGTTATATTCGCTCGTTTGTGACATAGTACCTAAAGAATTTGCCTTCTTATATACCGAACGTGCACTTCACTGGGTTAGGCTTCATGTGGACCTTTTCCGACATTCTTAGTGTTTCTTCAAGATCTTCAAGTATCTTTGCTTCTTGTTGGCTTTTGATTACGATGCCGTCTACATACACGTCGATGTTCCTACTGATTTGATCCCTAAAGATTTTTCCAATCAATCATTGATATGTCGCCCTAACGTTTTTTAGCCCAAAATGAATCTTCTCCTAACAGAAGGTCCATGGACTATGTAGAATGTCAATTTTTCATCATCCTCTTTCTTTATCAATATTTGATTATAGCCCTTGTGTGCATCCAATATGCATTTCCATTGGAAGCATTGTAGTAACTACATTTTATGATCTATCTATGGTAGTGGGTAAGAATCATTTAGACAAGAGTTTTTAAGATCTGTGTAATCTATGCACACTCTCCATCTCCCGTCATTCTTTTTCACCATGACAGGATTAGCAATCCATGTTGGGAAGATAGCCCCCAGACTATACCAGATTCCTCAAGCTTTTCTAGTTTGTAGTTGATTGCTTTCTTTTTGTCCCCGATCTGGTCTCTTTTCTTATTTTATGTTATAATTACCTGAAAAATATATTTAAGTTATGCTTGATGATGTCTTTGTTGACCCCCACCATGTCTGTTGGTTTCCATGTAAATGTGTGTGCTTATTTTCAGATCAGCTCTACTAGTTTCCTACTCGTTAGACTAGGAAGTTGTGTTCCTAAGAATAACTTTCTGTTTGGGATAGTTGGGGTTAATAACTTCCTTATCGTCCCATTGTTCTTCCCACGGCCGTTTGATAATTCTTGTTATGTCCACTGCCTCCATAATTTGGTAACACTTGTGTTACGCCGATGTTTCAGTTGTTGCCAATGTTGAGCTGTTGGTCGTGTGGAATTCGACGAAGCCATGTATTTTAAGTGGTATAGCAACAATCCTAAGCAACTATGGTCTGCTAATGATGATATTATGTTCTATATAGTGGCACACTATGACAAATTATATTAACACAATTTTTTGCCACATACTTTCATGACCACGTAGGGATAAATATAGTGTTCTTGTCCCTAATGGCCAAATGTTGTGACCCGTGAATCCTGTCAACTTGTGGGTTGATGGGTGGAGTCCTTACTTCCATTCTCTAGGAAACTTATTGAAGCAGTGCTCATAGATAATGTTAGTGGAAATCCCTGTATCTATGTACACTCTATTAGTTATGGTGTTGCAAATGTATGTTTGGATGGTTAGTGGGTCATTTCCATTATAATTTGGTGGTCCGAAATCATCTATGGAAATACTAAGATTCATCATGTTTCCGATCTGATCTTCAGTGCCCTCCATGCGTGAACGGTTTCATAGGTGTGATCAAATAGCTAGTATCTCCTACATTTTTTATGGTTTCTCATTATTCCCTCCCGTCTGTAGATGTAGAGTTCTTTGTTCTTCGTATTGGCTTCTAGATTTTGTGCTATCTCAAGGATATTACTTGTTAGATTATTCTCCTCCATCTCGCGTCGAAGTGAAGTACACTCAGCTATGTCATGCATCGTGCTTCAATGATATTCGTAGAACATTGGGTTTCCCTTGGTTTGTCTCTCTTGTTGCTTGTCGGCTACTACATAAACATCAGATCGTTGTGGTTGTCTATCATCTCTTCAGTAGGGTTGGTATCTACTCAACAATCTGGCCGCCTGGAAAGGTTGTGTATGATAATTGCTACTATTGTATTTGTTGTGTTGCTCGCTTTGGAGATGGTTATTGCATTGAGATATGTCTGCTTGTTCATTAGTCATGCTTCTTGTATTAAGTACTTATCTACCCGCTCCTTGATTTCATGTCGTACTAGGAGTGCCTTTCCATGAATATTTTGAACAACTCCCTTAGTAACCAACCCTATGTGAATGCACCAATAAATATACTTACGTCTTGCCCAGGTGTCTATTGTTGCCTTGGTAAATTGATCGAAATAATCTTTCACCGAGTCCCCATCCCTCTGGTTACACCTAATAACTGTGTGTGCATCTTCCTTACATTGCCTCGGTTTCATGAAATATGTTAGAAAAAGATACTTTAGTTTTTTAAAACTACTTATGTGTCCCGGTTTCCAATGTTTTAAACCATGTTCTAGCGTTGTTATCTAGCTTTGTAAGGAACACCAAAACCTTTCGTCTAACTTTAGTGAGGCCATTTCCACTTATAAATATCAATTTGGTTGTCCGAATTTGTTTTCCTATTGTATGTTTTCAACATTGGAAGTTTAGATATGTTTGGTATCTCGTAGTTCAACAAATATGTTGTGAACGGGGAACTTACACTATGCCAAATCGTAGTTTGGATAGAGTAGGGCTGATCGAGTGGTGTATGGGGGATGATATGATGGATGACATATGGATTTTGGAGGATTTGAAGTGCTATATAGGGTTTTGTGTTAGGATTAGGAAAAAGGGGAAGTGTTTCCGTTAGGATTCTTTTCTGCATCATCAAGGGCATGCGAGTTGTCAGCATAGGCATAGGGTTATGCAGAGTAAATAGCGGCGACATCGGCATCATTAACAGCGGTGTTGCGGATCTTGTACTAAAATCAAGTTGGTGTTGCTCCAACAATTGCAATGTTCGAAAGAGTGGTGATAGTGGTTTGGTTAAGGTTAGTCAATGGTGTTTGTGATTTGTTCACTAGTGAGAATAAAGGCATGCATGGTTAGAACATGTGTGAGTTTGGGCATCCATATTCTGCTCAAAAATTTCAAGCACAATCACATTATTTATATGATTGGCTAGCACATGTGATTTTTATTTACGATTTAATACAAGTTCAATGCATGTGAGTTTATCACCTCCCGAGGTTTTATGTCGAATATCCATAAGGATTAAGGGCTTTTGTAATCCCTCGTTCATGTTTAAATATTTAATAGAGGGATATAATTATACAAATTAGTTAAATCGATAGAAAGAATACATAGCTTGCATCTTAATTAGTTGAAATGTATTTTTTCTACGTGGTTACCTAGATGCTTGTCATTGTCTCCCCCAGGACCTCTTCCGATGATCATTCCAGGTAACACACTTCATTTTATAAGACAAATATAGTTTAGAAAGCCATATTGAGGGTGTACCCCTAATATTTCTCTTCAATGCCTAGGTTAGAAGTCATGTTCGATGCATAGATATTAAATGTATTAGAACTGCCAAGAGTATTCTAGGCCTTACCTTTCGAGCTAGGAAGAAGCCTATTTTTATAGCTGAAGTTTAGACTGGTTCTTGGTTTCTTATTCTGGGTTTTGAGTTAGTCTTTAGGTTATAAGCGTAAACCCCAAGTTTATTAAAATAGTATTTCCTTTTCCATGTTTCCTAGAGATGGTTCATAGGGTGTGTATGGTGATAGGGTTCTTCTTGTCATATGTGCTTAGTACCACTTATGTATTTGAGTCTATGCTGGCAAGCAAGGTTCGTTGGTTGGCCCGATGTTGTGTGGGTTGACACCCATATCCCATTAAGCCCCCAACCTAATTGTTATAAAGTTTGGTTGATTTATAATAATTAGGCTTAAGTGGTTTTTGCTTTTCTAGTTTTACTCAGCCTATTTAATGGCTCTTTGTTTGCCCACACGCCTATGACTTTTCGTAGGCCTATAGGCATATGATCCCCTTTTTAGTAGCAGTTAGCTTCCCTATTTCCATTTCATAAATTCTTGTCACATCTATGACAATTTCATCCTTTCATTCTTCCTACCTGTTCTTCCATATTCTCTTTTCTATTTCTTCTTCTCGAGTCCTCATATTTTTTTTGCAAAAGAATGTATTGTTCATTAATGCCCATCGTTCATTCTTTTGTCAGTCGTAAGCGTCTAAAATATGTTTATGTGAAGTACCATCTTATTAATGGGGATGGTGCCACTCTTCCTACTCCAAATGCATTTATCGATCGCCCTCCATTATGTAACGTTGGTTTCTATCTTTACTACTTCGTAGCCAGTCTTCGTGTGCCTCCTTCGATCTTTGGCTCAATTATTGAAGCGTACAAGAGTCATACTTGCCAACTAAAACCTAATTCGATTTCAAAGGTTATTTCTTTGAACTAATCTACACGCATCTTTGGTTTTTCATATTGTTGCTTGGTTCCAATAAATAATGGAAGAAATGAGTTTATTTAGTTGGATAATTCATCAAGGTTCTTCCTGATTCCATAAATAATGGAAAAAATGAGTTTATTTAGTTGGATAATTCTAAAAGCTCGAAGAGGACTAGTGACTTGGGCCAACTTATAAATGATATTTCTTGTTTGAATGTGATGATGAAAGTTCCTTGAAGCCGTACTAGGGAAAGTTGGCATGAGTGCATATTAGTTGCGTCTTGATGTTGTTCCTACTTTATTTGTCCCGGTATCAATGTGTTTCTTTACAAGATGTTGTTAACTAATGCTTTAATTGTGTGCATTTATCTCATATTTGCTTTGTGCGGATGGAAGTCGATTGCCATTTCTCTTGTTTGAGTTTGTTAAAGGTAAGGTTATGGGATGAGATCTTGGTTCTAACAATTTTAAGCTCCCAATTATCAATGATAGCTTTACTTATAGTGTTAGAAATGGTAGTAACACCCAAAATGATGAAGAGGAGGATTCAGAGTCCATGATTAAGGTTCATGACTCTTATGATGATACAAACGATATTCATACTTCCCTTGTTTCTACTAATCTTGTGATTTTTTCTGATGATGAAGCTGATGATGGGAGTGGTGAACAACCTTTAGTACGTCGTAAAAGAGGTACAGACTCTACTGCTTTGGATGCTCTAGTGGTTGTTATGGGTGGTGGTGAAGGTAGTAATGGTAGGGTTCTCAAGAGATACAATTCCCTGGATCTTGGTGCTTTCCATGATTTTGCTAATCACCTTGGTGTAGGTCGTCCTTCTTCATACGTGACTGAATTGAATATTAATAACACTCCTCATGGTATGAATTCGACCCCTACATCATTAGAAAGGAATAACATATTATAGAAAATTATGCATGTTGATAAAAATTGATGGTTGAAATTAAATTTTATAAAATATAGAATATACAGATAAGTATTAAAATGTTTAAAGTGAGTATTGAACTTTAAAATGCAGTAAATAACCTAAAGAAATTCAAAAGTCAAAGTTTTGATTAGGTTATGTAATTTTAGTTTTTCCAGTGATAATGTATTCCTGTCCTTTACAGGAAACCTTTACCCTTCAATGTATTCCATTCCTATTTGGAGGAAAAGGTTATTTGTAATGATGAAACTTGAAAACACCATAATACAAAAATGCAAATTTAAAATTGAACCATGTGATTATCGACTAAAGAAGGTTTATTGTGGGATAATAAAAAAAATCATCACCTTTTAATGTGTTGTTCAACAAACTGACAAGTTTCTGACCAACAACAAAAAAATGATCGACAATTGTGAAACGAATCGCTTGAGAAATTACCTTTTACTACAAAAGAAGTTATGTTATTTACCAAATAACCAAATTATGAACTCAATAACTAATTTTTAGACCAATTTATTCAACGAACTTGGTAAAAAAGAGTAAATTTCAAACATAATACAAGTAGACCTTTAATATTATAAAATTGCTAGTTTTAGAATCAAAGATAATACCTTAATTGCCAAATCCTTCACAACATATAGTAAAATGTCAAATACTTGATCTTTTTATGAAGTATTTGTCACAAAGATCCTTGGATCAAGGTTGGTAAGGATCGCGGTAAGAGTGGACTTGCGATTTGACAGTCAAAAAACGATTACATATAGGATGTGTTTGCTCACCAGGTTCTTGAGCACAACCTTGGAGCCTTTGAGATTAAGGTTAGTTAGATGCAATGTTCGGGCTGTCATATCATCTTCAGATCAGGTCTGTGAGTCTTGATCAACATGGTTAAGGTTCGGGTGGCTTTATCTCTCTGGGAGTGACACATGGTCTCAGAGTGTTCAAATAATCGATAAGAAAGTTAGTTCTTCTTAATGTGGTTTAGTTGTGTGGCATAGGTATTGCCTTTTCACCACGTTGGATATTTCTCGCTAGGATTTGAACTGGATTTTGGGATTGAAGGGAAGTGTTTGTTCTAAGCATTGTCCTTGTGTCGTTGTGGTCATGATTCGATGTTTCGGAAGATTCTGCTCGGGTTTGTTTATCCTTTTGGTGATTGCAGATTTTGTCACTTGGAGTGGCTTTGACATATGGAAGGAAATGGATTTGGAAGAACTCACAAGGGGTCCGTAGGGTGTCGTAAGAGTAATATGTAAGGACAAATTTTGAGGGAGAAAACTAATCAAGTAGGGGAGATTTGTAACACCCGTTTCCTACGATGGTTAGTGGATGGTGTAAATGAGTCAAAGGCTTGGTTTTTTAGGAAAACCATATGTCACGACGTGACATGCAGGGTGTCACGACATGCCATCGCAATTAAAGATCGCGTATCCATAATGGTTGTCATGACGTTCGTAGGGATGTGTCATGACATGACAACAACTACAGCCCAAGCCCATGAGATCTTAGGATTTTCTCCATATTTAAGCACCTTAACTTCAAGTTAGGGAATCATTTTATGCCCCCAACCTCTCCATTTTGATAACCCTATCCCCTTTGAGTATTCTTGGTGTTCTTGGCCATTTAAAGGCTTATTTCTCATATTTTGGTGTAGAGCTTGAAGACCAAGTTCTTGGAAGTGTTTTAGTGAAGAGCTCGAATGTAGACCAAGCAAAAGGACTTCATTTCTTATCCATTGTGAGTAAAAGTATTCCACGTTGATCTTTAGTTTTATAGATCTTGTAGCTTGATCATATATGTCCCTTTTGGTCCATATGAGCTTGTGATTTGGAGTTGAGTGAAGCCCATCACCTATTGAGCTTATTTTTTCACTTAATAATCTTGTTGGACTATGAAATTTTCATCTTGATCTTGTTCCTGAAGCAATGCATGATTTAGGAAGGTTTTATGCTATTAAGCACTTAGGGTCGTAGATCTAGCTTTGGGATGGAATCTTAATGGATAAATCTCTTTATCCATTAATTCAACAAAAAGAATTAGATATGAAATTATGGACCTTGATCTCAAGGAATTAAGCACTTAATTAATGGAGATTTTGGCATTCTGCTAGAAGCCATATCGTGGCCTAAGGGTTTGCTATGATGTAGCGATGGTCGGAGTCGTGACTGTTTCACCCTTTCTTTCTCGCAACATGACACATAGAGTGCCACGACGTGATGTTGAATTTGAATTTTTGTTCGTTGACTTTGTGGACCTTTGACTGTTCACTTTTGACCAGTTTGACTTGGGGTAAAACTTAAAGGATTTGGGTTGCTGATTGAGGACTTATCTGTCTTGGTATCAGTTGATTTAACAGATTGACAGTTTAAGGAGTTAGAATGGTGTATTGCTTTTTTGGTCCTATGATTCATGTGAGTTTCTCACTATGCTACGCATCTCATTATATGTCCTTTTTTATGTTAGGATAGGGTTACTGTTAGAAGTAAAAGTATGTTAGTGTCTTGGATAACTCAATTTGTATGTATATGCGGTTTAGGACACTTGGTGCCTTGGTATGCTAGAATGGTAGGATTTTTCTTGTTAATCGTATGGTACTGTTAGGAAATATGTTTGGTTAGGATAACTGGGATAGACCAATTATGATGAATATCCTAACATGTTTGGTTAGGATAACTGGGATAGACCAATTATCATGACTATGTATGATTGGCCAGCGAAGGACTTAATTATGAAGTGGTCAACGGTAGGGTAACTAGGAAAGGCTAGGTGCTAATTATGGCGTGCATTTACCACTAAAACATATTAAATTAGCACCATTTCTTTTATTTGAAGAAGTCAAAAATAAAATGAAGTGACATACCTCATAATTCGCAAAGACAACAACAATTCCCCATCTGTTACGCACCTTAAGTGTGTTAAACGGAGGGTATCTATAATTAAAATACATAATACAGGTCATCATCATAAACTACAAATGAACAAAATTAAAAATCCCAATATTTTGCTATACTTACAAGTTGTAGGTCATCCTTCATGTAATTACGACCTAACTTTGCAATAAACAAAGTCTAACATGCTCCATGAACTATAGTTTTTGCCTCATGTAACTTACAATCAACCAACACATCAATCATGTAGAATGAAGCATATGAACCTTTAAACAACACTTAAAGTTTGCATTTTAAGCAGCTACAATATTGCAAGGATCCGCAGTCATTTCCTCATCATTGTTCCTCTACAAAAGAAGAAACGGGAGTGAGTCATTGTCGTTTTTATTTTAACTTCTGTAAATTTATGGAATTGCAATGATTGGGAATCAGCTTAATAATAAAAACCAAACTTGTGTACATATATGTTATAATCATTCACTTGTGTGCAACTATTTTCGTAAATTTTTTAACAAACAACCCTTCTTGTAAACATATGTGTTTGCATGTACGCTGATCATGATGAGTTTCTAGCTTAATTTAGCAGTACTATGGGATTTCATAATTGAGGTACACTGATAGGTGGCATTCAATATATTTCAATAATATAGTGTGATACAGTAATATATAGTTCATCCTTTGGCTTTTTAGGAGTGGAGGTTGTGATGGTCCAAATACTCAAGCTTTTTAGCCATGATATGAAGATGTTAACCATGAATGTCCTTTTTTGTTTCAGTTTTCAAGATTTTTGAAAAGTAACTAGACCATTTTCCTTAAGTGGTTGCTACAAATTTTATACATACCATTTGGTTTGATAAATTTATCATTTGCTTGTGAAGAATTCCAATATGAATTCCTAGGTTTCAAATCATGTAAATGTCTTTATCGGATAAAATTCTGAGAGTGATTAGACTTCTTAAACTCGTCATCCATCCAGTAAGACATTCAATAAAAAAACAGATGAAGGCTCACATATCACTGATATCCTAGATCTCAGGTAACACATACTACAAAAAATGCTCAAATTACATCATCTACGCACTATAGTTAAGGATTTTAGCAATCACCACCAACACAGTGAATAGAAAGCTTGTTGTGTAAATAAATTTGACATACCACGATATTATACCAATCAAATCTATAGTGACAAAGCAATACATGTGATTAAGCTACATATATATATTTTATAATGAAATAGAGGACTTTGCAATGAAATATTCAACAATTGCATAAAAAACGCGAGAGTTGTACCTCAGAAATGATTCAAAATCCCTAATAAAGACGACATGAGAAGTCGATTATACCTTCAAATCGAGTAGATTTCATTGCAAAAACAACAAAATACCTCTTAATAGGCTTAGAAATTTTCGCAGGAGTCATGAAGGGTTTTGATTTCGATGAACTCAATGCGAGCTTTATGGGCCTATGATGGATAAACAACAATCCATTCTATTGTTTTCATAGTAGCTTCAGACCATATGCTACCTTTTAACTGCAAAACATCGACATAGAGACTAGGACTTAAGGCAACAAATTGAGATCGAGCAGAGAGTTGGTAGAAAGAGAGCAAAGTGACCCTTTCAGCTGATAAGAATGGAACAAAAATGAAAAATCAGTTAAAAATATATCAATTACTAGTATATCTGAGCATTTGAATTTTAGATGAAGCAGATATGAGTTTTGGATGAAGCAGATATGAATAAAAATAAAGCAGTGGGAAATGAAAGCGCACATAGTATGAAGAGGATTGGTAACGAAAGCGATGGAATAAAATGTTCAGATGAATGCCACGATCAAAAATTGCCCAACTTCAAAATGGGAGAAGAACATGTACCAGTGAAGCCAAAAAAGCCGATGAAAACCACCCTAACTCTAAACCACCTAGTATTAAGCCGGCTCAATACCAGGCACTGTTGATAAGCCTATTATGAATTACTTGTATGTATAACGATATGCATTGGAGATACCCCAGCCCTATTACATATTTTAGTCTCAAATAAAAGAAGTTAAGGAAGCTATACAACAACAAGCATTTAAGATTTGAACATATAGTGA